TGTCCATGCCTGAGCCTTTTGTTTAGCACAGGCACGAGACAGGGTTGCAGACCCCTATTCCTGAAATCGTTGATAATTGTCAATTTAACGTCTGATGCTCCTAATTCGTATTGGACACCTCAGATTGACTTCGATAGTATTTTTTGGCATGCCATATGTAAACTAGAGGATATACAGTCAAACCTCAGTTATATCACCCTTTTTACTCAGAGAGTTTTTGGATATGTACAGTAACTTAGGTAGATATGCAATTTAGGATATAACTTAGTTGGGATATAGCTTAATGAGGTTTGGCTGTACGTTAAATTGATAATAAAAAATTACGGTTACCCTTTCGAATGCGGTAATAAGCAAACCATTGACAGAATATCAGAAATTTGTAATACATAACTATTAAAGTTAATTACGATTGTGCTTGTGAGTGCCGCTAAGCAAAACTGTAAATTCAAATATAGAATTCTTTACACAACGGAATATGAATAATGAAAAAAGCACAATTATTAGACCAATTAAAGCCATATTAAGTTATACGTATAAAGAATTTTATATTTAGAATTCTGGTTTATACTTTGAAGTTTACATTTTCCAGCTAGATAACCAAATGAATTAATGATATAGTAATATATCTATCGATAATTTTAATATATCAAAATCTTGAGAATTTATAAAAATAAGCGAAAACAGTTACAATTAAACAATAACTTAGCATTATTTCATTAATTAAATCGAACAATGGTGATATTTTCAACAATAGGCTTTCCAGTCCTGTTGTTGATGAATCCGGAGATTGGAATAACATTTCAGAGTTTATATCAGTACACTCTACCGTCTTCCAAAAGCCTTTGGCCACCGAATACACTAAAGTTGAGAAATTGTTTACGTTATTTAAAAGAACGGAACGATGATATTGATCGCATTCTTAACTCACAACAAGAATATGCCATAAGTGCAGACTTTTAGGAAAATTATTCCACGTCATATATTGTTTGTTGGGTTGCCGAGCCTCTAGATGAATCGGTCATGGAAAAGATTTCAAATCTGTTTGATGATAAGTTTGGTCTCATATACCATCTGGTGAATGCCGATGAAATGGGTGGTAGCTGCAATGATCATTATGAAGCCACAAGCGAGACATTGACCAAAAATTTCGGCGGACATATCAATATGTCATATTCGAAAACTACTGGAAACTTTGAAGATTCCGGAAGAAACGAGAAAAATGCTGATGTTGATGATGATATTGATGATAGTGATGACAATGGTGACGATGATGACGATGACGATGATGACGACGATGGTAGCGTAGACCCAGATCCCAAATATTATAGTTATAGATTTATTAAGGTTTCGTCTGAGGGTAGAATCGAAAATGAGGATAAATTTCAAAATTTCAATATTACTATTGATATTTGGGCAAACAGCGAACAAGATCCCCACACAAGAATGAATACTTTGAAATTTAAAATCAAATTAAAAAATTGTGGTGTTTCAGAATTTCTAAGTAAACAGTGCTCATTTCTTGAAAGCTATATTTGTTACTATCTTGATTCGCTTGAAATCGGTGTCTCTCCGATTCCAACTGAATCTAACGATAAATCCAGTATCATCATGTTAAATGAACAACATCTTCCACGAAAGCTTAACTACGCTATAAATGTCTCAAAAGGCTATGATAATTATTTAAGTATTCAAGCGGCAGCAGTACCGCTAAAAGTGACGGCTAGTTTTGGTAAAAAAAATAGCCGAAACGCTATGACAACATTAAACGAATGGGACTTGCACGACGAATATAATGAAACTAAAGGTGTAAAATGGTCTTATCGATTTAGCGGCAATGAAATATACGATAGTGGAGAACATATAGAAAGCATTCACGCCGGAGAAACCCATTCTGGTGATTGGTATATTATGGATAAAATGGGAGGTTTTCGTATTACTGTTTCTCAAGTGCTTGGTTGTAAAAACAAGAAGCTTTTTTCTCAGACTCCAGAGCTGATAAAACAGTATCCTAAACTTGTTCATAAACTCGAGATTTCTTTTAAGAAAATTAAAGGTTTCAATCACGATTTTGCAAAACGAAATGGTGCACAACGCGCCATATCATATCCCGAAAACTCCTAAGAATAAACGTCGGAAAAAAGTAAAAAATTCCGTGATCAAGCGCAGACTATTTTCAAAAACTTAAAAAATGTAGCAATGTAAAGCTATTGTAATTACTGTTTTTTTTTTATTACTGTAAAATAGAAACTGAATAAATAAATTATAAATATACTGTACATATATATTTTTAAACTACTTAGAGACAAAGCTCGCCGTAATTTTATGCATGTTATAATTTATCGCTCTTTTCAATTTACTGTGATCATAAAATGATCGACGATCACATAGAAATTCAAAATTCTAAATTTCTTGCTAACAAACTAGGCGCTTGAACTGTTTAAAGGGAGTTAGAAATGAGAATTATATACTGTATTATACTAGTACACTTCTAGTG